AAGGGTGGTACAGCAGATATGCAGCGGGACATAATGTATAAATTCTGCCAAAGAAATCTTGTGTTTTTGTTTACAGCACATCAACACCGGCGACTGCTATTATCACCAAAAGCTCTCTTGACATCTTTGTCTGTGCTTTGTGTATGACATCACTTTTTAATCCTGAGATATTTGTTTTCATTTTTGCGGTTTAGAAACATCAACACCTGCACCCGCTCACAGGGAATACTGCAGGGGGCCTCCTGCTGTGTTCTCATATCTGACCCTTCTGACTTTCTGTGGATTTAAGATTAAGGGGCTGGTGGGAGAAAGTGTGCAGAAAGTCCGGAGGCTCTCATTCAGACATTTGTGTTCACATATACAAACCCTCCAGAGAATATTCGGAGGATCTCCGAAGTTCAGTGCAGGTCTGAAAGCAGCTCATAATATGCTAGGAGCATGGTTGCTAAAGTCATGTACTTGACTTCTACTTATCGCAATATACTAAGACTCTTAATTTCTGTCTTTTCTTCCTCCACTGCTACAAATTGTTTATACGTTTTACCATTTGCTTGCTTGGTAATGAACCATCACCACCCCCACCACTTTGCTATCCCCACTAATCAACCTGATTTAAGTTTATCTGCAGCTTTGGGAGCTTGTAATACATTCCAGTATGATAGTGGTAGGACACAGTGCTTGCTCATGTGTGTGAGAAAGAGAATCTTTCACCCTAAGAAATTCCAAACTGGATAAAAAATCTGGTCAGTGGACACACAAACACAGTCAAGGCCAGTGGGTTATTTGTTGAGGATGCTGAAAGACTGCTGCAGCTCAGTTTGTCCAGATTCTGTTCATATTCTATTCTGACAAAATATCTTCAATATGATTTAATAAGTAATGTACATATACAAAAGAAACATGAGCAGACCCTTGCTCATGATCAATTTGAAGGCCCCAATCATCATAATTCATCATGAAGGTTAATTGGACTTAGAAATTAAGATATTTTAAATTCATGTCACCTTTTGATTGTCCTTGTCTCTACTGGCTTTTTCTGTCTTAACTTTTTCTTTCAAGAGATATTTCTTTCTTTCAGACATAGCTATATATATTTTTAGACATATTTTCACAATGCTTGTGTGATACTTATGAAAGATGAGTGTTATCAGCATCACTGATGGGTTTTGATATCAATTTTAAACTTTCAGCCTTGAAGGTTATTCAGTGCCACCAGTTGACGCCCTGGCATCAGCATCGAGGACAAAAATGAATGCTTCGTCTGGAGTAGATACTGTCTATGAAACCTAACAGCACAAGAGCAGTGCAGCAGTGTACTCTGTGCTATCTGCAAGGTTGAGTGGAAACATGTAATACCGCTTGGTGTGGCAAGCAAAGGCACTATTAGTCACTGGGACCTTGGCAGTAGAAAATGGCTCCTGGAATGTGAAACATTGTTTCTATATGGGGGAGGGGGTTGAGTTGTTTTGGGTCGGAAACTCTACTCCTTGATAGTGGATGGATGGTCTTTTCCCTGAAGGACAGAACACTCTGACATGTGCTGTTACATAAAAGGGAGTTTTTGACTTTGAAACACACTCACCAATATTTCTCCTGTGTAATCCAGATCAATCATACCCTAGTATAAAACTTGACTAGTGTATACACCTCCATGGGTCCAGTTAGTTCATAATGCGTGCAAACGTTTTACTGATTGTAAAATTTGAAGAAGGAACTAAATTAAAAACAAGTGTGGTTTAGAATCAAACAACATATAGTCATTAGAGGTAGTCACATATATGGAAGTGAATCACTCACTCTACAAACTATCGGAACCAAACCATGTAATCTGACACTGCTCACTGCCCCTTCAATCACTTCCTCCTCTCCCCCCCCCCCCTTCCATCTCTCCCACATTGACGCTTTTCACTGGTAAAGTGGTGGCCACTGTAAACTGACCGCCCTTTCTTCTGCCCCCACATCCCTCTGTCATTCTGCGGGAAAGATAGATGAGTTATGGAGGGGTAGTGCAAAGATAAGATCACTTAATTTTTTGAAAAATCCCCCATCTTTCATATGTATCCACATGCTGTGAGAGGTTGTTGACTATATTAGAATGCCTGATGGAAGGGCCACTGTTGCATGTGAAGGCTGCTTAGGACCTAAAATCTCAGTTCTGCCAAGTTAAATTTCACAGCTCTCTTTTCAACTGTTTTTCTTTAAGTTCCTTGTTATAATTCCCTATGACAGAGTTAGTTCCTACAATAGTTACTGTGCATTACATGCAAATGCAGAATATCTATTCTTCACCAGCAGAGAGCTAAAGGCCAATATTGGGATGGTCAATATTTTTTTGCATTAATTAATTTTTGTAGCATCATATTCTAGAATCGGTATAGCCTGTTGCATGAGCTTATATAATAAACCGACATGCAGCTCTACATTAGGTAGGCTTAAAGAGCCTCAAAATGTTAATTAGTATTCGCACACTAGAGGACAAAACTGTTGAATTATGAGAAAATGAAGTCAAAGTAAATAACTGGCCATAGGGTTGAAATAGGATAAAGGCAATGCAGTTACCTGATTCAACAAGATGCTAACATTTTGCATAGTGCCATGCTAATGTTACAGTGTTAATCTCAATGCAGTGAGTGTTGAACAAACATCCTCAGGACCACACTGCAAACATCGATCCAAGTTTGTTTAAAACAATCCCAAACAACAGAAACTATCAAGCATCCCGGGCTTGATCGGAATATTGAAAATAATGGAAAAGGTCATGAGAACTGTTAATTTCATAACAAATTAAAAAAAGATTCTATTCATGCATGTTAATACGTTTGTTCCTCTTGAGGAGAAATATGAACTCTTGCCTGAGATGTCGAAGATGATGCGTTTCCTGTATGCACGCATCATGACAAACAAGTGACTCTCACAGAAGCTAACGCTGCTGCTACTGAGTCTGACTGCAAATGTTACTCATGGTAAGTAGACTCCAGTGCTTTACTTGATGTTATCCATCATAAGTATTTCATTGTCATTTGAACAGGTGCTGTTAAATTGTCTACAGACTTGTGACAGTATGTGGAAACTAGCTGAACTTTGTAAACATTAGCATTGACTGAATTGCTAGTTCCTTAGCAAGACTTTCCTGCTACAAGGACAGCTAACACAGCTAACATTATATCAGCATCATAAATGTATCTACAGTGATCAGTTAAAGGGAAAACACTTATAAGAATCTACTTCAGTATTCAACACACAACACATTGTTGAGCTAGGAAAATCTCATGTTAAATATTATCAAGCTAGCATTGCTAAAGGAGAAAAAAATGTTGCCTCTAATATTTCATGGCACCACACACAGGGTGCTCCTTTAACTTGGGAAATTGCGTAAATGTGAATACTAAAATACCTCAAACACTTTTATTTTCATCATTATTGTACTTTTTGGACACTGACAGTTTGGGGCTGTGTCTTCGCTTGTTTCCAGATGTTAGCTAGTTTGGTCATGCTAACAACAGGCCAAGCACATTCTGCACTGTTTGCTTTTGCCAACAACAGCGCATGGTTTCAGAGAAAAGAGACCATGTGCACTTATGTCAGTTGTCCATCGCGTGTCTTAAGGAACCATGAAAACTAATTCTGTACACTTATATAAGTTGGTCATGGTGTTGTCATTGTAATATACATTTTGTCTGCAATCTAAAGGCAACATAAAAACCTGAATTTGTTTGCCAGTTGATAAGGACCATTTGAATACACAGTTAGTTTTGATCTCTGTGATGCTGTCTCAGTTAGGGAGGAATATCAAGTTCAGCCTGGCTTTCAGGTCCCACCTAGATGGGCTGCATCCTCCAAAGAATCCCCCTGAGTGGACTGTCACACTTAACAACTAGTGCAGTCACATGTCACTGGCCAGGCTTACGTTACTTAGTCAAGTGGGTGGAGCGCATGTCTTTTTATTCAACGCAAATGCTTTGGTAACATTCTTATTTGCCTTAAGTAAACTTTCTATATATTTTTGATGTGTTAATGTTGAATTCTAACAGAAAACAAGGTAAATATGTTTCAATAATAATCCTGAAGTATTTTGTTGTTTTGTAGTAAAAAAGATACCACGATTATTCTCTCTAACCCAGGTGCCTTCAATGAGAACAAATCTTACCTTTAACAGGAGCAACCTTCAGTTCTGACATTTAGTTCAGATACACATTGGCCAGTGCAGCTATTTCAAAAATTGTAATCATAGTGATAAATGAAATCAAGCTTTATTATTACTCAGCTAAAAGGAGATGGTGAGGTGTGGTTTAAGCAGTCCCTTAGACACTACATATTTGGTCATAGTGCACGCTATTAACCTACTAGTCTTTTAGTCAGCTGATGTCCACACTATCAGTGGATGAAAAAGACAGATGAAGGAAGTGCTCTGTTCCAAGGGATTAATTATTGATGGTCATCACTATAGAATTTTCAATTAGCACTTTTAGAAAAGGGTTAAGAAGGCTTTGTGTATTGTTACCGATGAGGACAGGAGACGTTGACTACCTAACTGACACACTAAATAAAACAGAAAATTGCACAGACACATCCTGTACTTTACTATTACCCCTATATTGACTTCATTCGCGTATCCTGACAACTGTTTTCTCTGTCACCCTTCTTGGAGTCCTGACTCACGGTTTTGAAAAAGACATTTAGCTGCATGAAAACGAGGAACCTGAAACTTGCACTCGTCAGGGTCATTAGAGACTGATGACTTCACAAATGCCTTTTAGGGATGGCTCCGCAACAATGACTGTCCAGTGGATAATAGTTTCTGTCAGCAGTCCTCAAGTATAGGATCATATAAATGCGGCAGTCGTTGTTGATCACTACAGGGTAGTTTCAAATCACCTCACTTACACCAAAAACAGTTTCAGTTTGTGTGTGTGTGTGTGTGTGTGGGTGTGTGTGTGTGTGTGAGAGAGAGAGAGAGTCTGTACAGAGGTTGGGGGCTGGCTATTGATGTCAGTGGAGGAAATGAATGTATAACTCAACTCAGACACAGCTCACCGCTTGTTGATGATCAATACATTCATGTGCGTGTGCTGCGGCAGGAAGTGACCGATACCGCCGGTATCTGTCTCCTCAGGTGTGTTCAGCTGTGTGGCCGCACCAGGAACACGGAAGCCCCGCACCTGTGAGCTGACGTCACACGCTGAGAGTACCTGCAGCGACACGTCCAGCTGAAGTCAGTTACTGAAACTAGCCTCACGACGCGAGACAAAGGCGCCACGACGACTCTTCGCTAAGGGACGTATCCACCATTCGTTTCTCCTTTTTGTGACTTTCATCGCGAGGAGTATAGACACAAGGACCAATAAGCAGATGGGGACCGCTCGGCTCTTGGCTGCGGGCATTTTATTCGTCGCTTTTCAGGTGAGATTTCCTGCCGTGGCTGTGGCTCTCCTGTCAGTGCGCACCTACTTTCGTCGTGTGTAAAACCTGTTCTGCTCTCCCGACTCATTAACACCTGATACCACACTATACGGGTCTCCTGTGTATTATATTGATACTTTCAAAATAATGCCGTTTACGCCGTGAGGAGCTTTTAAATCTCAGTAAAAACTTGTATTATGACTTTAACTTCGATCACTACTTTAACTCAGCGCCGCTCTGCTGAGTACAGGACGGTGGAAGAAGGTGGGGGCAAATGACAAATGGCCAAATAGTATTTTAACCAGTGCGGCTTTTTGTGGTCTGACTTTGGAAGTTTCGGAATCACAACTTGTGATGTGTAGATAAACGTATCGGAGCAGTAACCGCAGACACGGGCCGTGTCTCCCAGGAGTTTGAACGCGGTGAGCGGATATGCGCGGCCTCGCCCTTGTTCCACTCATGTCGTCACTAGCAGGTTAAATTCCAACCCAACTTGTCCCCAGTAGTGTCCTTACATGTTGTACCATCTCGTGGAAATACTCTCGTAAAAACACGGGAAATCGCATCATTCTCACAGTGACTCGGTGGTGATTGAATACAATTGATGGCTTTAATTCACAATTTAGGCCCATTTTGCGGAATTTCAATGATTGATAGACCTGGACACGAGTAACTGATTTTCGATTGTTAATTAAAAGAAAAGGTCAACATTCTTTCAATGTGAACGTTTGTAAAAATATCTGCTGTACACCCTATTATATAAATTCAAGCTACTTGTCAGAAAAAAAGACTGCAGGCAACTTGGGCCTTCAGAACTTGTACCAGGCGTTTTCACCAATTATTTGACATCTTATAGATTAATAATAAAAAAAAAGTCAGACCTTTAATAACCTATAATTAAAATATTTTTATTTCAGCCTCATTAGGCATTGTGTGGTGTTTCCAGTTTGTCTACCTATCCTGACATTTAAAACACACAAATGAAATGCCTTTTTAAATTTGTTGTAACAATATTGGATTTTATTTTTGTCACATTTTGGGTACATTTGGATTATGATTAACTGAAACTATGGATTTCCCTCCTAGGCCTCAGCTTTAGAGACCACAGAGGAGCCAAAATGTGTACCTGGATTCAAGTCAGATATGTTGATGTTCAGAGTGGCCAGAAAGCACCTGGGGCCAGGCACAAGGCTGGGCAGAGGTGAGAACAATCCAGGAAGCTGCTCTCGCTCTTTTTCTATTGCACACAGGCCTTAATTAACCTTGACTTTTCATTGTCTTACTGTATGGATTCCATTTTTGGTCTGTGTACTGTTCAGGAAAAAAAGTTTAGCTATAGAAAAATCTAGCCCCAGATTATAGTGATAAATGATTATTCTCATCTTTTTGTTGGGTGCTCCTCTGGATCAAATGGCCTTCAGGAGAGTAGCTGTTCACACTGTTTTCACATGTAGCCCAAAAAACCTCAAGGCTCAGCTTGGACTCACACTGCTTGCCATTGTAATGCTCTTATCTTGCAGGGAAAACAATGTCCCAGAGCCTGTTCTGCAGGCCTTTCTCTTCGACTGGTGTCAGATATTCAGAGTGAAGCAGCGCTTGATATGTTGTGTCCATTTACTCCACATATTCTGTTTGGACTGTAACATTACTCTAGTTTTGCTTATTTGTCAGATCCTAAGAGTTTCCCATGACGTTTGAACTAAGTATAACCTAACTTGGCATTGTGATGTGATCAAAGTGTTTCCTAGTTGTCATTGCTTGTCTGTTAACAAAAGCTGTCCTGAACTAGGTTTCCAGTTTTCCGGTTCCAGATTCACCATTTGTTAGTTTCTATTTTGCACTAAAACTACATAATCTATTTATCATTTTAACATTTTCAATACACTGGTGTTGTTCTTTTCAAACCTAGTGTGACCAAAGTTGGCATTTTATTAAATAATTCCTGAATGGTTAGAGTAGTAATTATGAATAATTATGTATTTGCAAATATGCAATATGTACAGTGTGATGCAAGTCACACTACATATTCTCTTCCTGCAAAGTTTGCACACACTTACACAGTCAAAAACGTTTTTCCTCACACACACACCTGCTATTCATCAGCGTACAATATGTTTTTCCTTTACTTATGCTCCACCCAGTGTCCAAAAAACTATATTGCATGTTGTAACTAATAGTATGGCTCCACCTATTGCAAAAACACAGTTTTAGCTGTAGAAACGTATTTAATTGTCCTACCCATACTCCGCATAATTAGTTACTGATGCTGCACAAGGGTTTGTGGTGTACAAGCCAGATCATAATATACATTATCTCAAGGCACTTTACATAGAAGGGCAAGACCTTAAAAATGATAGAAAAACCTAACAGTTCCCACAATGAGCAAATTTGGCGACTGTGGAGAGAAAAATCTCCATTAACTGGAAGAAACCTCTAGCAGAACCAGACACACACATACATATTTATATATATGAATAGTTTTGTGCTGACACGACAGCAGCCTAATAGCTGCAGACATCTGCCGAGCAAGTGATAGACCAAATAAACTAGAATCTCAACTTCTATACTTCCACTGCTTTGCATTATACAGCCAAACACAAATCACGAGCTCACTGGCTTTCAGCCTCTCTCTCTTGTATATGCAACCTCAGAATTCACTCTTAAGATATCCAGTAAGCTAACCATCTTGGGTCAGGACAGTCCTGTGAACTGTGGCAGGTTCATATGCTGTAACTGAAAATGTAACAGATTATAGAACTGTTGTGACTCTAGGAAGCTGATGTGGCAGCTCTTATCATCTCTTATTTTATGAATTGAAATAACCCTTTGTACAGTGTTTTTACTTGATTTCTTTAAAGTAGACATTTAACATACATCATGCAGCCCTAACTGAACCACTTTTGACAAGCTGCCACTTCCACATAATATTTAGCTTAGCTGTTTTTTATCCATTGAACAATACTTTTGTCATGTCCTGAAAATGTGCAGATTTAGTTTTCTCTGCATGAACTAATTGTTTCTTGTGTTCAATCCCAGTGGGCTTCACTGACTGCACAAACCTCACAAGATTCCCTTTCTTCAGTAATGACAGCCGTTTCATGGTACAGATGGATGGAATATTGATGGTGAGTAGACTTTGACAGACTTGATAACAAAAAAGAGCAGTTTCTGATGCTTCACCCTCCAAAATATGTAGTATTTTATTATAGTGCTGTAATATTCTCCATGTTGATCTGATCTGATCTGCATTATGAAAACACAGTTTAGCCTCTTAGACAGTTAAATTATGAGGGATATCGTTGAACAGAATATAACTTAATTCCAGGATCCACCTCTATCAGCTCTGTTTAAACACCCAGTATGTGTACGTTTTGTTGTCTTTTTCTTTACCTACACCTTTATATTGCCCTGAGATTTAGATGAACATCAACATCAGTTGCTATGATCACTTTGAAATTTTCCCCAGCCATGTTGGCGAGGAACATCATCAAAATGTTGGAGCAGTTAATATACCCAGAGTTGGCATGTTAAGTTTTCTTTAGTCAAAACTTTTTCCATATGTCCACATTCATTGTGGATTTTGTCTTTTTCATCCAGGTAAGGAGAGAGGTTGTTCTTCAAGGACACCTTGACTTCTCTATCCATTTCTGGAACTCGCATGGTCAAAAAATGACAGTTCCTGTCAAGGTAGTGCACCACGGTCATCGCCATGGGCATCACCATAGGCCTCACCAAAGGAAAAACAATGGGCAACATCAAGAGGAAATCCATGAGCATCACCAAGGGGAAATCCATGGGCATCACCGAGGGAAAAAGCATGGGCAACATCAGAAGGAAACCCATGGGCATCACCAACAGAAAACCAATGGGCATCACCAACAGAAAATCCATGAGTATCACCAAGGGGAAATCCATGGGCATCACAGAGGGAAAAAGCATGGGCAACATCAGGAGGAAACCAATGGGCATCACCAACAGAAAACCCATGGGCATCACCAACAGAAAACCCATGGGCATCACCAACAGAAAACCCATGAGCATCCGAAACAGAAAACCCATGAGCATCACCAAGGGAAAAACCATGGGCATCACAGGCAAAAGGTTGAGCATCACCCTGGATACAATACAGAGGTATGATTAGAGGTCCTGTTGGATTGCTTCATAAAGAATCTCAATATGTAAAAAAAGAAGAAAGTAATACATTTAATGGAAATTAGATTGCATGCACACACTCTTTTGCTTAACAAACACTGTCCCACTGGATCTGTGTATGAATGGGCAAAACTCGGAAAAAAAATGCAGCTACAAAAACTTCAACCCTGGACTGGCGTACTCCTTGGGCAGGAACTGGTTCATAGCCTGCTCTAAGATTTCAGGATTTCTTTAGAGATTGTTTATCTAGACTCTTGTTAGACTAATAAACCCTTTACTAATTAAAATGTATGCACATTTTCATAGAATGTGACCACCCCAGATGTGCCTGTTCTGACTTTTCCCAAGTCTGTTGTTGGATTGAGGAGGAGGAAGAGAGACTGGGTTATTCCGGACATCAATGTTGCTGAAAATCATAAAGGACCCTATCCCCATAAAGTATCTCAGGTAAGATGAACAATTTGCACAATCAAAAAGTCATATGCAGTTCAACATTGAATTCTCAGTGACAAGGAGCTGCAGTTCCTGTTAGTTTCCACTGTGAAAACGGGTCACCGCTCCCTAAGAAAAGCCATAGCGGCAATCATTCATTAACCCTGAGATGAACGAAATGGTTTAAAACAAATAACCATGTTTATCAGGACAACATTGTAAATTCTAATTACAATGATTGAAGAAAACAGATTTTGAAATGTCCTTGTAATAATGACAACTACATTCATTAAACAAGGTTGAGATCACAAGGTAACTTACTTGATCAGAATATAGAATATCCTAATTAAGCCAGTCTTTGTTTTTGTAGCCCAGGAATTTTAAAGCAGCAAACCTCGAAGAACTTAGCACTTCTTTACTAAAGTTAAATTGTTTTGCAATATATTAACTATGGTTACATTCAGTGAGAACTATGTAACTCACACCTGTCTTGTTTTGACCAGATCCGTTCTAATGAAGATAAAGTGAAGACGGTATATTACAGCATCACTGGTCCAGGAGCTGATGAGGCTCCCCATGGCCTTTTCACTATGGACAGGTCCACTGGTATTTTGTATGTGACACAGCCTCTGGACAGAGAGAAGGTGGAAAGGTACACGGTAAGCACCCTCTCTGATGTTAGTTTTCTTTGTACACTTATTTTTAAACATTGTGTATTCCATTTCACTTTAATTTTATGCTCATATCCAAGTACAGTAAAGTGCATCAATCTACACTAAATAAACCTTAATAGAACATGGAAACTAAGTCAAGAAGTCCAAAAAACTCAGTGCAGAGCTTTTGTGATACATTTGAGGTGAGGTTAAGATCAGGACATGGTTATGAAACCATTTCTAAAGCTGAGTGTTTGCAGGAGCATAGTGATCTCATTAGTTGTGAGGCAGAAGAAGTTTGGAACCAGAGGTCTCTTCTAGAGCTGGATGTGTAGTTAAGCTGACTAACCAAGGAAGAGGGCTGGGACAGGGAGTTGAAAAACAAGAACTAAAAAAAAGAACCCATTGTCTCAACCATCTTCATCAGTCTGGCTTTTGGGGAAGAGAGGCCAGATGGAAGTTACTTTGAGTAAAGGTATATATATGCCAGTTAGAGTTGTTTACCAAAATCTGGTACTGGTTCCAATACAGATTTCAGTGCCTCATTTCGGTGTCTGAGCTATGTTATGAAACAGTTATCCTGCTTACAAGTAACATTAACGTTACAGCATGTGCCTCAGGTTGCAACACACTCTACATGGCTTTGGCTGTACTTAATGTTAGCTACCTCAAATTCAAGTAGAAAAATGAAGTATGTGTATATTTTATGTGAAAGGCTTTGACACTGGGATATGCAGCAAATGTGTGAGGAATTGAGAGAGGAGCAAAGGGCAACTGCTGTCCTAGGACCAGCAGCTGGACTGTATTTATATTGTGCCTTTCCAGTATTATCCATCGTGTAGAGAGACCTGAAGATGGCAGCTCAGATACCAAACAAGAGGCCTTGAAACTGTAACTGCTGCTATAGGAGCCTCTACAGAGTACTGAACACAGGGTCTGAATACTTCTGTAAAAGAGAGGTTGTTTCTAGAACCAAGTCAGTATGGGTTATTTATTGTAGACTGGTGGAAAAAATGGGAACTTGGTCCATTACACAATGTGTGGAAAGAAATTATCTAAATACTCTCTTAGATCACTGTGTGCAATCAAGTAGTGAACAACAGGCAGTAAAGCCCATCTGCATTTAGGTTGACACTGCCACTGCGCTTCTTAAAAGAAATGGAAATTGTTGGAACAGTTTAGGGAAAACATTTAGTCCAATCTGATAATATGACAATAAGACATAAATAACCTTCTGGAGATTACTTGTAAACAAAGTCATGCCTACCATTCAGTGTTCATTATGTTCTCCCTCTTAATGCATTTGAAAAGTCTTCTTTAAGTGTATTTTACATTGGTATCAAGTTTATGTCTGTTTACTTGCCAGTAGTATTTGTCACAGCTTATGAAATGTAAAACTCATGGCTGGAATATGCATCACATCACCTGAATGGAATCATCTACATAAATTATTTTTACATGTGCTGTATTATGATACAAATGTGTTTGTCTATGCGCAGTTTCAAGCACATGCTGTGGCAGAAGGGTCAGGAAATGCTGAGGATCCAATGGATATTATAGTGAATGTAATAGACATGAATGACAACAAACCAGTTTTTGCTCAAGATACATTCCTTGGACAAGTTCCTGAAGCCTCAGCAAAAGGTACAGTGAGTTACTTTCATTTATGATTGGAAAAACATTGTTGGACAAACAACGAGAGAACAGCTGGACAGATGTGCTGATGTTTGCCCCAAAATGTAATTTATGAAGTGAAATTCTGTGCCAGCACTGACATTTTTCTTATCTTCTCACTTCAATTATTCACTGCTCTTGGTTTCTTATAGCCATACATTATATTTAAAATGGGAGAATGAAAGGATAGCAAATGCAGTATCTCCCGATTGTAACCAATTGTTAATAATTGAAAATTAAGCATACATGCTAAAAGGTCCAAAATTGCAAATGAGTGTTTGTCTGTTGAGGTAGGTGTTGAGTAGAGTCAAGAAAAATGGGGAAGATGTAAAATGAAGTGTTCACTTCTGAAGTGAGCACACACATTTTACCAAATTAGTAGAATGCCTCTGAATACATTGTGAAGCCTCTGTACTTAAATTCACACTTCTGAAAATCCCTTTGTGCAGGTTTTGAGGTGATAACAGTTATCGCCACAGATATTGACGAGCCGGGTAATGCCAATTCAGATGTTCGTTACCGTATTCTGAGCCAGGATCCAGAGTTGCCCAGTGCCCAACTGTTTGAGATCAACCCAGTCAATGGAGCAATCAGAGTCAATGCCGGTGGCCTAGACAGAGAGGTGAGGATTTTGAAACATACTGTATTAGCATTTTACTTAAACTGTGCTAGCATTCATAATGTTAGATAGAGATTAGTATGAAGCCACTGATGAGCTCTTAGTCACTTTACCAAATCATGATTCCACTGATAGAAAACCACAGATTCTGGGTTTCCAGGAAAAGTTGTTTAACATGAATAGAACACAAAAACAAAGTTGGTTTTGCAGTTATTTGGACAATGGACACAGCAATGAGATTAGACACACCTTTTCATCGCTATGTCAGGCATGGTAAAGATGTATTGTTTTATTCTCCGAGAATGATGGCAGAGTGTTTAAGCTGTCCATTTGATGAGTTACACTAATTGTTTGTCTCCGCAACAGCATTACCCAAAGTACACTCTGGTGATAGAGGCAGCAGACATGGAGGGAAATGGGTTGACCACATCTTCCAAAGTAATTCTCACTGTAACAGACAGCAACGACAACTCTCCAGCCTTTACGCAGTCATCTGTAAGTACAACATACAAACAGTTCAATCATAGCTTTGCAAGTATGTGTAGTTGTCACCAAGCAGTGTGCTTTTTTTTGTCTTAACTATTGTCTGAAATACAGTACAGTGTTTTAAAAAAAAATAGGAAATCTAATTGTAAATCTGCAGCCACAATGCGGACCTGTAGTACAAGTACAAAAATCTTTACAATCACAGCAAGTCACTTGGGCTTGATGAACATTGACTTCACACATGGTCAACTGTAAGGCTACGGAGAACGTAGCTGATCATAATCATTGTTTGTGATGAGCAATAAACAATAATTGTTTTCCATTTTTTCGGATCTCAGTTTAGGTTCTGAATGTTAACGACATGATTGAAATAGTAATTCTTTTTATACTTTTCACAACAATCATATGGAAACAGATATCGAGGAGTATCTTTAAGAAATAAACCTTTGTTGTAAGGGAACTATACTTTGTTCTCAAGTATCACCAACTGCCTTTGTTATGCTCTCACACTTTTGAACATATCCCTTGCATTCTCACAGTATGAGGCAGCAGTACCAGAAAATAAAGTGGACGCTCTGGTCATTACAATGACAGTAACTGACGGTGATGAGCCACATTCACCAGCCTGGAATGCCAAATTCAAGATTGTTGATGGTGATCCTGGAGGCCTGTTCACAGTCGCAACAGCAAGTAACAAACAGGAAGGGATCATTACTACTGCTAAGGTAGGACATAAAGCATAAACTCTCAAACAAGCCACAATATCAAAGTTTAGCAATATCAGTGTTTCACACTTTTATTTGGAACACTACACCTATACTGAGTTGTTCCTACCTCAACTCCACAAGATTATAGAATTTTTCCTTAGACAGTCTGATAAGATTCCTATGCTTGGTGTGGATCATTATTGGGTTGATCCCTGGCTCCTCCAGTACGCATGCCTCTTTGAGCGAGACACTCTACCCTAAATGACCCTGATGGAGTGTGAATGCTGTGTGATAGTATGTAGCTAGTTTGCATGAAGAAGCACTATATGAATGTGTGAGAATTTGATGTATTTAATAAAGTATATAAATATATTACATGTGCTCTTCTGTGACCTGTTGCAGTAATTAAGTAGCAGTGTTCAAGTGGTTTCCTCTTTTACAACAAGTTTGTGTTGTACAGCAGAACAAGATGTAAAATCTTTATCTGATAGATGATTGTACTGTTTTCTCCATCCAACCAGGGTCTTGACTTTGAAAAGATCAAACAGCACACTCTGTTGGTTGCAGTGGAGAATGAAATTCCATTTGCCACTCCACTGCCCACTGCCACAGCCACAGTGGTGGTGAACGTGCAGGATGTCAACGAAGCTCCAGTTTTTGATCCAGTTGAAAAGCTTGTGTCAAAACGGGAGGACCTTGCTGTTGACAGTGAAGTGGTGCAGTACATTGCTAATGACCCCGACACTGCACGCAAACAGAAAGTCATGTAAGAGAAAACTGATGAAATGAACACCAACTTTGAACATTGATCTAAACACATTATCCCTGTTGCAGAAAATTAGACAGTAAAACAAAATTAAAACGCTGGTCACACTAGTTTCATGTGGGAGTGAAATATACGATGTGAGAAGTCCAGCTCGAGAAACAGATTTGTATTTAAAAGCTTAATGCACTAAAACACAGCACAGTGATTTGTAAAACTCAGACAGGATTAAGGCTGCAACAACTAAATGATTTATAGATCATAAAAATAGTTTGCATCTTATTTCATAATAGATAAACAGGGTCTGCTCTACAGAATGCAGCAATGTTTACGTAGGTGGGGGCAATAGTGCCTTGTGTAGCTTATGTGACAATACAGCGGAGACAAGTGTTCTATCCAAGTAGTCAAAATTGTCAAAACAATTTACATTAATGCCTTCAAAGAAGACTGTTTGTGACAAAGCTGATCTTGTATGCCACAGCAGCAAAACACCTGTGGTATGAACATGAGGAGAGAACATGTTGGAGCTGGAGGGGAGCGTAAAGAGCTCCAAGGATCATACCACAGTGATGTGCTGCCATGTCATGTGAAATCAGCTTTGCACAGGTTTTCTTTTAGGCCTCCCAAGATATTATAGATATTGAATTATGACTAGTCAGAATTAAATTGTAGACATCTGAAAGTGGAATTATATTCATAATTTGATTGCAGACATCTTAATGGATATATAAAGATAATTGCACAAGATGTCCCATTGTGAAGCCTGTTTTTGTGATAAGCTTGTTTGCATTGACCTCTCATCATTTCTCTGACTGTCCAGGTATAAAATAATCAGAGACCCTGCAGGCTGGCTGAACGTTGCCAAGGAGACAGGCCTGATTAAGGTGAAAAGTGCCATGGACAGAGAGTCGCACTTTGTCAAGGACAACAAATACACAGCACTCATCGGTGCATACGACAATGGTAGGTGTGACAATTGGCTTGATAATAGCTTCAGAAGAAGCTGTCTAAATGTAGACCAGAGAATTAGTTTTATTTTGCTCACTGCTGTGTGTGTGTTTGTGTGTTTGTTCGTGTGTGTTCACCAGATGAGGTCCCAGCCACAGGAACTGGTACTCTGATTATTAAGCTTGAAGACGTCAATGACAATGCACCCGTCATTGAGGAACGTGCAATAAGGGTGTGTTTCATTTCCCAAATGCTGAACTGTTGTCATGTGTTTGAGCACTTTAATGCAGATGTAACTTAACATGAATGAGTTAAGCTGTCTGGTGGTGAGCCCAAATAGATATGAAGGAAATAATTAAATGCTGCGGTTGTAAAAGTAGCCAAACATAACTGGTGTGCACTAACCTGATCAGCGAATTCAACTGTTTCTATATGACTTTTGTGTTTTCTCAGGTGTGTAAAAAGGAATCAGCTCCTCATCTGCTTTCAGTAACAGATAAAGATGGCCCAGGCTTTGCTGCTCCATACAGTGTTGCTTTACAGGGCATGTCCAGGACCAACTGGACCGCTCGGATGAATGATTCCAGTATGTGCACTATAATACAGGCTTGTTGTTTTAGATATTTTAGATGGTTGTAAAAACAAACCCACAAATGTTACTTCATCAAGAAAGAGATTACACTTTTCTACCATGTGTCAGTGCTTTTAGTGCTGTTAAAAAAGTTAAAATTTTTATAACTGTATAGAATTTATGAAATACTTCTTCTTCCCAGGCTGTGTGCAATGCAAGCTCCAGAATTTAAAATACTTTCAGGACAGATGCTTTAGTATAGGTTTGAAATTGACTTCTGAGGTTTGAATGATTAAAGTCGACTGAGCAGTTCTAGAGAAGAACTCATCCTATTGACATGTAGCATGTTTGTTATGATCAATGTGTACCTGTGCATTGGTACGAAAATGATGCGTGCTGCTTTGAAATTAATCTGGAATTAGATGAAATTGTAGATTCCTGAGATATATATTGACATAAAATAATGCAGTGGATATAAACTACACTTCCTTCAAATTCCCCCTTTTTTTTTTTTTTTTTTTTTTTTGCAGAAACAGGCATCATCCTTAATTTAGCCACTGAGCTGGAAAGTGGAAAATACATTGTGGTCCTGAGGGTTTCAGACAGACAGGGCATGGAGCAGGACAACACCGTCCAGGCCGAAGTGTGTGACTGCACGGGCAAAGACGTGTCCTGTAATGAGCGAATTGCTGGTGGAACCAGTCTGCCCATGATTCTTGGAATACTGGGAGGTGTCCTGTTGCTGCTCAGTGAGTATTTAATTCTAGTTCAGTTTGAAAAGATTGATATCAAATTTCAAGGGACTGTACATGAGAACCTTAGCCTTTAACACAAAGAAACGCTTTACATCTTAACCTGCAGCTGTGTGTTTCTGGTGATGTTGTAATCATTTGTTCTGTATGACACACGCAGCAGGACAAGCTCTGACTTTCAGTAATCTGAAAACTGCTGGAGAGTTTTACCATAAACTATGAATCAGCATGCAACCATGCAATCATGCAACGTATTCTCTTCATTTGGGCATCAGAACAATTTGTTATGTCTGACCTGACAGCCTCCACTAATGGACAAAGCTGGTGTACTTTGTTGGGAACAACTTAAATTGATGGATTAATCCACATTTGATGTTATTTGAAGCGATATAAAAAATATATTACATGTCCCTTTTAAATGATTGGTCCAGTAGTGACCATGGTGATCTCACCACTTTACCTTCACTTTCCTTTCTCAGCTCACACGTGGTGACCTAATCATGTGGGTGTGTTGGATTAACCTCTGTGCTCTTTGTTCAGTGCTGGTGCTGCTACTACTGCTGTTTGCAAGACGGAGAGGAGGAGAAAAGAAGGAGCCTCTACTGCAGGATGATGATATAAGAGACAACATCTATTACTATGACGAAGAGGGAGGTGGCGAGGACGATCAGGTAAACAAGGATGCAGGTTTGGTCTAATTTCTTTAATAGCCAGTCTCCGGTCACGTGGTTCTTTAAATAATTAAAGTAGCACATCAAAAGGTAAGGATATACTTCTAACCAGCAAATAAATGCAGTAGCGATGAAGGCTTAGAAATAATTTGACATTGTCCCTTTTCTGATCACACTGAAATCAATACAAGTCAGAGCAAAACCCTGACATGTTTTTCTTTCAGGACTATGACCTGAGTGTTCTCCACCGTGGTCTGGACAACAAGCCAGATGTGTTCAGGAACGACGTGATGCCAAACTTCATGCCTGCTCCTCAGTACCGGCCTCGCCCTGCCAACCCAGAGGAAATTGGCAATTTCATTGATGATGTGAGTCAAAGATTTAAAAGCTTCTCTAAACATAATCATGAAATCCTAAATATGATGATTACTGTTTTGATAGAACTAATTTATAATCTCAGTCTATAGCATTTTCAAAACTGTTTTAAGTGATGAACAATTTATTCTGGTCAGCACGAGATTTAAAAAACACTTGCTCATTTTGTTTGCATGTAATGTACATGGAGATGTTTTTGTCATGACATGATTTTTTTAAATAAATAGATTGAGTATCACCTCACCCACTTTATTCTGCAATGTGTATATGAAAGTTAGAGTCCATAGAATGACAATCTACTGTTTATCCCCTGCTCCCCTCTCAGAATTTGAAGGCAGCCGACAATGACCCCACAGCGCCCCCCTATGATTCCCTGCTGGTTTTTGACTATGAGGGAGGTGGCTCTGATGCAGGAAGCCTCTCCTCACTGAACTCGTCGAGCAGCGGAGACCAGGACTACAACTGCCTCAGCGAATGGGGACCCCGTTTTAAGAAGCTGGCAGACATGTATGGCGGAGGAGAGGATGATATGCTGTAAATGTACCAAAGAACAAACAATATGTAAAGGTGGATGCACGTATGACTGCGTGAATGTTAGTTTGATCGAAGCATGGACTGATAAATGAATGCATCCCAGGGTTAACTACTCTCAGACAGACATCAGTAGGATCACACATGTTTTTTCTTTATGTGGATTGTGGTTTACCTTACAGTGCAGTCCCATCAGCAGTTAACAGCCACCTATCAAAGCCAGAGGATGTTTTTGTTAATGAGTTCCCCATTTTGAATGGTTAAGCTCTGTCTCTCTTTTAGATCCCTGTTTGACCTCTAGACTAAAGACTAAAACTTTCTAAATCCCAATCTTGTTTATTCTCTGTTCACTATGTTCCGGAGCCACATGTTCAGTCTGAATGTGGATTCATGGATTTAGGTTTATTAGCCTGCTGTTATGCTGGGTGACACTGGACACACTCATGCTTGCAGTTGCACTGGTAACGTGTGTACATTTTGCAATTTATGGTACTTTTTTTTTTTCCTGTGTAGTTTGCACTCCTGCTACAGTTACATGTCATTTTTGTGTTTCTGTTCGAATGAAATTATAAATAATCAAGGCAAAATCCAGGTAGCCAGCTAACTAGTCAATGAGTTACCAATAAATACTTTTAAAAAATGATTGGTAAGTATCTGTTCAATAGACAACTTTATCACATTGCAATGTCAAAAAACTTTTTATAATTAACTCATATATAGTTAACCGAAGTACTTTATTACAAACTGTTGATTTTGAATTTTTATAAAATGTCTTAACACGAAGATACATTTGTGAATGGTCTTTATTTAAACAAGAATTGTGACACACTGAGGCATAGGCCTAGAGCACAGAGCAGACGTGAAGTAGAAACCCGCACACTTTCTACACTGGCTTAATGAACAACTTTTAACATGATTCAGTTATGTCTTTGAACCGTTTTATTTGATATTTTTTATCAAGTAGTGTAGGTAGTGTACCATGTGAAAATTAAACCACGAGTTCAAAAGAATGGTTCCTCTTCCAAAATTCCCAAAAAGTTAAAATTGGCGGCTGTTAGGATGAGAAAGCTTCAGCTTTTTGACAGTGTGAAGATACTTGCACATTTAAAATAATTGAGTAGGAAAGTACTCAAACTGAGACAGTACATGCATCCAAAGCTACTTTGCATAAGCAATAATAGCTGTATGTGGGATCCGCTTGAGGTGAACTGGGGACCTTCAAGGTTTGACTCCAGTGTTCCTATGCCCTTGGTGCTATGTAACGCACAATATACAGCTATTTCCCAATGAAAGCTTTAGACAATGATGTCACCTTTATGTTGGAGCCACTGCTCGCTCTCATTTAGAGGGGGAAGTGACAGTTAAGTATTTGAACATTTCATGTTAAAACCTCAAAGAAAACTTGTATAAAGTTGATTTCACATGACAGCAGTACAACATCAATGGGGTTTGAAGCTCAAGTTGTTTAAGATCCTCAGGTAAACGGAAGAAGAATAATGGCTCCAACTTGTTTTCTCTTCAGGTTCATATCACAGTGAATGTATCTGGCAGATCACTGTATCTAACATAGAGCCAATTTCAGCTATGGAGCCTGCACTGGACATTGTTGCAAGATCACTGAGGTAGACCCCCACCTTGTGTATGTGATGCAAAGGGTTACAACATGCCCAAGATGCACTTGCATCCCTTGCTTCTTTTGAACATTGTGCGTGTTTCTCTGTTAAGGCTCATCAATGCCAGCTACCTACAGAAAAATCATCCCCATGGGATCATGCTGGAGCGATCAGCTTGACGCTGTTACCCCACTTAATGACCCTAATGAGCACCTAATGTCTGAGCATGGTGTAATCGTGGGGGGGATGACTGATCCCAATACGATATCCTTGGTTCTGAGGGAGACAAAGTTAATGTTGAGTCTTTTGCAGGGGTGGTCTGCGTTGAACTGGGTTGATATGGAAGACAGGTGTTTCTCTCATCATTGTGCATCTCACTTCCAGCCCACTCAGAAGTCACCATGACTTTGGCTATCACCACCCTGCCCTTTATGGCCGAATCACTTGCAAGGACCACGCCCCAACTATATGTGATGTGACTCAGATTCGTGGTTGCGTCTCGGGCATCTTTCCACCCAAGCTTTTTAACTAGTTTACTCAATTTGTTTCCAATCATCGATGACAGAGTAGAACTACCGTCACTGCTGTTTGCCTACCAGTCTGAGTTGGAGCACGTCATGCCAACCTCACCTCATCAGACCTTTGGGATGAGCTGATGACGGACCTCTGCCTATGTCATTACTGGTGCACTGTCAAATCAAATCAAATTTTATTTGTATAGCCCAAATTCACAAAACAAATTTTGCCTCAGAGGGCTTTACAATCTGTACAGGTAGTGACACCCTCTGTCCTTAGACACTCGGTTCGAGTGAGGAAAAACTTGCCCATTAAAAAAAACCCATTTAACGGAAAAGAAGGTGGAAGAAACCTCAGGGAGACCCACAGAGGAGGGATCCCTCTCCCAGGACGGACAAACATGCAATGTATGTCACGTGTACTGAACAACGCAACAGAAACACAATTACAATGAAAGACAATGATTACAGTAGCAGTGGTGGTAATATATAACAATGCTACAATAATAAACAAGTTAATATTAATATCATAGAATTATGACTAATTGTAATAACAAGAGTGGATGTCAGGCAGGGCCATGGCAGTAGTGGCAACCACGATCCATGAGAACCTGCTGGACGAGAGAGCACAGAAACTCTGGGAAAGAAGTTTAGTTATTAACATGCATTAATGAGACATGTATGTTTAGAGATGGGGATGATAATATATAGAGAGAGGGGGGGAGTGGGGGTCGGTCCCCCGGCAGTCTAATCCTATAGCAGCATAACTAAGGGATGACCTGAGCCAGCCCTAACTATAAGCTCTATCAAAGAGGAAAGTCTTAAGTCTACTCTTAAAAGTGTTGACCGTGTCTGCCTCCCRAACCCAAAATGGTASTTTGTTCCACAGAAGAGGAGCTTGATARCTGAAAGCTCTGGCTCCCAATCTACTTTTGGAGACTATGGGAACCACAAGGAACCCAGCATTCTGAGAGCGTAGTGTTCTGGAGGGGTAGTAAGGTACTGTGAGCTCTTTGAGATATGATGGTGCTTGCCCATGAAGAGCTTTGTATGTAAGGAGGATAATTTTAAATTCTATTCTGGATTTAACTGGTAGCCAATGTAAAGAAGCCAAAATGGGTGAGATGTGATCTCTGATCTTGGTTCCTGTTAGAACACGTGCAGCAGCATTCTGAATTAGCTACAAAGTCCTAAGAGACTTATTGGAGCAACCTGATAACAAAGAGTTGCAATAGTCCAGCCTAGAAGTAACAAATGCGTGGACTAGTTTTTCTGCATCTGCTTGAGATACAATGCGTCTAATGTTGGCGATGTTACGTAGGTGGAAGAAAGCAGTCTTTTAAATTTGTTTTATATGGACATTAAAGGACAGATCCTGATCAAAAACAACTCCGAGATTCTTAACGGTGGAGCTGGAGGCCAGGGTGATCCCGTCTAAAGTAACTACGTCTCTAGAAAGAGAGTTTCTAAGGTTTTTGGGTCCAATTACAAGAACTTCAGTTTTGTCTGAATTTAGCTTCAGAAAATTATAGCTTATAACTTTTTATATCCTTAAGACATTCTTGAAGTTTAGTTAACTGATTGGTTTCATCAGGCTTGATCGATAAGTATAATTGGGTGTCATCGGGATAAAAATTTAAATTAATAGAGTGATTTCTTATAATGTTCCCTAAAGGAATCATATATAAACTGAATAGAAGTGGTCCTAACACAGAACCTTGTGGGACTCCGTGACAAACTTTGGTATGTACGGAGGATTCATCATTGATATGAACAAACTGAGATCGATCTAAAAAAAAGGACTTAAACCAGCTTAAGGCGGTTCCTTTGATGCCAATTTGATGTTCCAGTCTCTTTAAAAGAATTTGATGGTCATTGGTGTCGAATGCAGCACTGAGATCTAACAAGACAAGTACAGAGATGAGTCCTTTGTCTGAAGCCATTAGGAGGTCATTTGTAACTTTGACTAGTGCAGTCTCTGTGCTATGATGCATTCTAAATCCTGACTGAAAATCCTCAAATAAACTGTTCTTATTGAGAAAGTCACGCAGCTGATTGGCTACAGCTTTCTCAAGGATCTTCGAGAGAAAGGGAAGATTTGATATTGGTCTGTAATTGGCTAAAACCTCTGGATCCATAGTGGGCTTTTTAAGTAGAGGTTGAATTACAGCTACTTTAAAGGACTGTGGTACAAATCCTGATAATAAAGACAGATTAATCATGTCCAATGAAGAAGGGCTAACTAGAGGTAGAACATCCTTGAGCAACCTTGTTGGGATGGGGTCTAAGAGACAGGTTGACGGCTTTGATGAAGAAATTAATGAAGTTATTTGATGAAGGTCGAAAAACAGTCTAAAAATAAATCGGGTTTTACAGCTGTTTTCAAACTTGCTGTGTACGGATGCAGATCAGTGCCCGTTGAGGGCAGGAGGTGATGAATTTTGTCTCGAATAGTCGAATAATTTTATCATTAAAGAAGCTCATGAAGTCATTACTACTTAGACCTAACGGAATAGATGGCTCAATAGAGCTGTGGCTCTCTGTTAGCCTGGCTACAGTGCTGAAGAGAAACCTGGGGTTGTTCTTATTTTCCTCTATTAATGATGAGTAATAGGCTGCTCTGGCATTACAGAGAGCCTTCTTGTATGTTTTAAGATTATCTAGCCAGACTAAATGAGATTCTTCCAGTTTAGTGGCACGCCATTTATGTTCAGAATTACGTGCCTCTAGCTTTAAGCTGCGAGTCTCCTGGCTATACCATGGTGCTTATCTCCTTTGTTTAATTATCTTCTTTTTCAGAGGTGCAATAGAGTCGAGAGTTGTTTGCAAAGAGCCTGTAGTACTATCAACAAGATGATCTATTTATGAGGGGCTAAAGGAAGCAGACAATTCCTCTGCTACATTGAGACATGGCATTGAATTCAATACTGAAGGAATCACTTCCTTAAATTTGGCTACAGCACTATCAGATAAACAGCTGCTGTAAAAGTTTCTGCCAAAAGGCTTATAGTCCAGTAATATGAACTCAGAGGTTATTAAAAAATGGTCAGACAGAAGAGGATTCTGTGGAAAGACTGTAAGATGATCGATATCAATGCCATATGAGATAACAAGATCAAGAGTGTTGTTCAGACAATGAGTCAGTTTATTTACACTCTGACAGAAGCCAATTGAATCTAATAGAGAGATAAATGCAGCACTAAGACTATCATTGTGGTTGTCCACATGAATATTAAAATCACCTACAATAATTACTTTATCTGTTTTAAGGATCAAGCCTGATGCAAACTCTGCAAATCCAGATACAAATTGTGAGTAAGGACCAAGATCTCGATAAACTGTAACAAATAGAATTGGCTGTAATGTTTTCCAGGTTGGGTGAGTAAGGCTAAGAACAAGACTTTCAAATGAATTATAATTTAGTTTAGGCTTAGGATTTATTAATAGACTTGAGTCAAATATGGCTTCAACTCCACCACCTCGACCAGTGCTTCGAGGAATATGAGTATTACAGTGACTGGAAGGAGTGGATTCATTTAAGCTAACATAGTCATCCTCCTGCAACCAGGTTTCATGAAGTACCGTGCCTCTAAATCACTGAGCCTTACCTCCAAGGCAACAAATAAACTACATTTATTACAAGTACGATTATCGCTA